CTTCACCTGCTCAATAGTTTGTGTCTCACCACAGCTAACCAGATCCCACTGCTCACACACCTGTGTGTTGGCAGCTCAGCCACTTCTGCTGCTTTCCCACCTAAAAACAGTCCCTTATGTGCAAGGATTTATGTCCCAAGCAGAAAAGCAAAGCTTCAGAGAAGGAAACAACAGCAGAAGTGGGGATTACGGTCAACAAACTAACCAACAAACCAACCACTTCCATTTATAATAAATCAAATAAGGATATCTGAAATAAACCACTCTGCCTAACTGCATTTTCAGGGCTGAAACCTTCCAGAACACACACATTGGAGAATCATTTTTGTTCCTTTGAAGTATTTTTGAGAAGTAGAAGGAAAATCTCTTCCAAGAGCCCTTTACACAGAGCATGGGACAGGATGTTGTGGGCTTGGGAAACAACCGGTTTTGGCACCACTTTCATGGTGCTGTTTGATCTCTTGAAATTCAACTGACAGCCAAATCTCCACTCCAAGTGTTTTAGCACAGCCCCAACAAGCAGTTACAGAGAGTGAAGAGGACAAATTGAACATGTGCAATTCAACCTCTCCAGATCCCACTCAATTACCTTTTGGAAGAGGGGGTGGCCGCAAGTTTTGTTTCTCTTTTCTTATCTCTGCCACTTTCTTTCTGTAGTAAAGGAATTCTCTGCTGTCCTTATTATGCAAAAACCTGGCATGGAGATGGAGATAAAAAGAACAAAATACCTGCATCAGCAACCACTATACAAATATTGATACTCTGGGATATAAACAGCCCAAACCCAATTAAATACAAATCAGTTACTCAGAACACACTGAAAATGTGGCTCCCAAGATCTTCAGCACATGTAAATACACGCAGCTCTAATCTAAAGACCTGCATCCAAATTCTGTGTGTCACTTGAAGGGAAACAAAGAAGTTTCTTCTGATCAAGCAGGGAATTCTCTATCCCCAGCCACACAGTGGCAGAGGAGACAGAAGCAGGCCTGAGATTAAGGCCATATCCCATGTGCTGGTCATTCACCAGGCACAGCCAGACCCCTCTAGCTGCATCCTGGCTCTCACTGATCTGCTTCCTCAGCACCTCACTTCCTGCCTAGTTTCCCCAGCAATGACTAAATAAACCAATTACTTATAACTTAGTCACTCTATCCACGAGGCTCTTCTTCTCCTACAAAGAGAGAGGGCTGTCATTTGGAAGATAAGAGTTGCAACGACCACACTTACAAAAAGGCTGGTTTATCCTTGTAGCTCTCCATAGCGACCTTCTCTAACCGTGGTCCCCCTTCAGCCACGAACCTAGCCAGCTTTTCCACCAATGCCCGGGTGTCAGCATCCTCTGGGGGTAAAACTTTAAGCAGCTGTCAGTACTGGGGTTCAACTCACACACCAAACAGGCAACAGGTACATTACTTCTAAGAACCACGGAGGCAGACAAAAGTAGAACGGGAATGGGAAGAGAAAGGATGAAATGGGGGATCCAGTCTTACAGAGCTGTACAACTTACAACCCCCAGCTTACTGTCAGCCTCCTCTAGCAGGAAGTTCATGTTACGTCTGCCTAAGCCTCACATTTGGATGCCCGCAGCTGAGGGTACAATTTGAACTGCAACATCATTTGCTTCTGATAATTCTACTCCATACAAAACACAATGGGGAGGAACAGGGATTTGACTTTAACCACCACATTACTCATCAGTACAGATTCCAGTTCTCAAGACATCGCTCTGTACCCAGCTAGGGGAGGCAGATTGTGGAGCTGGAGCATGTGGCTCTTCCTACTGGCATATGCCCATGTCTCAGCTCTTGCTTGGAGGGAATCCCACTGGAGAGAAGAGGAAAGCTCAGTCTCCAAGAAACCGTTTTTTGGCTTCTGTGCCAAGGCAAAAATGCACTAACACTGACAGTGGTTACAGAGCAGATGCAGGACAGACCCAATGGGAACTAAACACAGGCTCTTGTCTAGACAACAACATAATGGGGAGTGCACTGAGCAAAGAGCACGTGGGAGAAGAACTGTCCACACTAGACTAGATTTGAACCTACAATCTTTAAATGAAGGGTCCATAATCCATCTTTGTTCACTGCAGCCACATTCCTGCAGTACATTTCATGCTTAAGTTCACACTTGCCAAGATGATGCTCTTAGAAATCCCACCAGAAAAGGCTGGGTATGGTTTTGTAACCATAGAATGAAATAAATGATGACACAAAGCTCAGTGTGACTTATTTAGCAACTCCAATCTCATTTTATACTTGATTAATACACACAAATGAAATGCAGATTATTAAGCAAATCTGCCCCTGGGCTTCCTGGCCTGGGTTAGCCAGATCAAGTTGGTTATTTAAATGCTGCAAGATTCCTCACTGCTTCTCTATCCTGCTTCAAGCAGGCAGAACCTAATGGAGAGATTTTTCAATGGAAGTTTGGAAAGAGGCAGAAACTCTGATTTCAGTTCTGTGCCTCCCATGTCATCTTATTGCTTACCAGACACAGCTTCCCCCCTCTACACAACCGCTCCTAAACTCTTCATTTTCTATCATTAAAAAGGCTACAGCTCCATTTTCAAGACGAGCATTATGTGTATTGTCTAGAGAGGTCAGCAACAGGCATAATAAATGTCAGTTGTACCAAAGTAGAATTCTTATGACAAGCAAACAATTGAGTTCCATTAGGAATAAAACACCTTTTGTCTCTATAGGTTGTTTTCACAGAGGTGGTGAAGAACTTGCCCTGGTAATTCAGAGAAAACCCATCTTCCTAGGCACAAACCCAATCTGCCTATGGCAAATGATCCCTCTCCCAGTCCAAGCTCAGGCTGGATCAGGAATACCTCCCAGCATTCAGTCTTCAGCTTCTTTGCTGAAGCTTTGGAGGAGCCCCTCTGCATTAACTGCTGCCATTTCCATTTCATGATGCGGAAGTCAGCCCAGAGGAACTGTGTTGGGAATGCCAACCCACAGCATAAGGAAAAACCACCCTCCACTGAAGGAATGCTGTCCCCACGCTCCACCCCTAGCGCTAGGGTGAGCTGCACCCCAAAGCAAGGCAGAGCACAAGGTGTCATTTACCTTTAATTTCCAGCCACTGCTCATAATCTTCCTCCTCATCCTCATCTGGCGACTGAAAGACACTGTGGCGGGCAGTGCCTGGGCTCTGTCTGGGCTGGGAGGAGCTCCGTGCTTGGTGCAGCATGCTGCTCAGGACCTGCCCGGCCCGCTTCCCAAACAGCCCAGGCTTCTTCCCAGCATTTGCTGCTGAAGCAGTTGCCGAGTTCTCAGTAGAACTCGGGGGAGTTTCTTAGAAAAGAATGAGGGGAAAATAATTCCTGTGCATCCTTTAAGGTTAGAAACAACATCTCGGGCAGCGACAGAGCTGCAACAGGCCATGATTTTCAGAGTAAGTTAAAGACACCGGTAAAAGCTGCAGGATGAAATGAAAGCTGGGATGGTTTTTTACACAGCGAGGTTCACGCTAGCACTGCTGCTTCTCCAAGCAGGCAGAGAGTGGGCAACACCTCTCTATCACATCTCTGTAAGCCAAATTTGAAGGGGTCATGGCTGCTTTAGAACTTACTCCTACTGGTAGCAGCTCATAGCAGGGTTTTTAAAGTGAACATACATGGAGGCAGCCCACACAAAGCTGGGATCATCAGGAGAAGGAAGGCCTCCTGTAGCTCAGAAGTTGACCTACCAGTACTTGACTTTTCCTTCTGCAGCTTGAGAAACTGCTGGAGGAAACTGCCATCATTAACAAACTTGTTGGAAACAGAGGCTTCGTTCTCAGCACCGTCATCTCTGAGTAGAAAAAGAAAAGCAGGTGATGGTGCTCATCATCCTCCCCAGCCCCCTCAAACAGAAACACCAGCCACCACCAACCTCATCTAACGTGGACAAGACACCAAACTTCCCAGAAGCACAGACCTGTTCAGCTTGCTGCTTACTGCACTCACCCACACTCTCCACCTGACTTAGTTATTACTGGGATGAAACAGGATTTCTACTTGCCCCTGGGAAGCGTTTAACTGGAAACTGCACCAACTCTTTGTGGTAATAAGAGAGAGAAAAATAGGAAGTAGAAGGAAAACTTAATAATATCCTATTAAAACCATAACTGCTGTTAGCACATACCCATTCTTGCCTTGCTAGATCAACTACAGTACAAGTACCCTATTCTAACCTTTACTCAATCCCCAATTTCACCTCTCCGTATTCACCCCCAAGTGCAAGAGCTTTGCAAAGCTTCCCTCTTCAGCTTCATCTCTCAAAGATGCCAGCAAAGCTCCCAGCACCGCAATCCCCACGTACTCTCCGAGCAGAGGGATGCTCGGGCACTTCTGCCTCGCCTGCTGCTCGAGCCTGGCCTCGATCTCCTTCTTTTTCTGTGCTATCAACTCCTCCTGGTGCAGAAGATTCACGTTTGTCTTGGCAGACTTGGACTGCGCGACCCCGAACCACCGGCTCGCCTTCCCTAGGGGAGAAGGAGGGATCAGAATGAACGCTGAGGGGGCCGGGACGTCCGGGAGTCCCCACAGCCACTGAGGGGAGGAGGGGGAACTGCCACAGGCACCCACCATACACACGGGCCGCGTCCCCTCTCCACCTCCCCCCACACACACAGGGGCCCCCCTCCCACGGACCCCGGTGCCACCGGCGGTGGGGAGAGCGCTGCAGGCGGCAGCGGCGAGGCAAGAACCGGGACGGGGGGCGGCGGAACCCGCCGTACCTGGCGCATCCTTCGGGTTGTCCATTTTGGAGCTCCCGTCCCATAATGCACCGCGGCGGGCGGGGGCGGGCGGTGCTACGCTGCCCTGCCGCAGAGGCCTCTGGGAGATGTAGTCCCGCATCCGCCCCAGCGCCTCGCTGACGCCGCGGGTCTGACTACAACTCCCATGAGGCCTTGCGCTCCACGCCGTTTCCCGGCAGGGCGGACTCCATGTCCCAGCGGCCCCCGCGCACCGCTCTTCACCCCCGCCCCTCCCCTCCCGCCCGTGTTGTCGCGGCGGCCCTGAGATGGCGGCGGTGGCGGCGGGCGCGGCGGCCCCTCAGCAGCAGCCGCCGCCTCAGCAGCAGCCGCAGCCGGCGGCGGGAGGCGCGGCGGGCTCCGGGGAGGCGGGCGGCGGGGGGGGAGGTGGCGGCGGGGGAGGTGGCGGCGGGGGGGCCGCCGGAGGAGGAGGCGGTAGTGGCGGCGGCGCTGGGCCCGCACCGGGGTCGGGGTCGGGCGGCGGCGGCGCGGCCGGCGGCGAGTCGTGGTACCTGGCGCTGCTGGGCCTGGCCGAGCACTTCCGCACGTCCAGCCCCCCCAAGGTGCGGCTGTGCGTGCACTGCCTGCAGGCCGTGCTGCCCCGCAAGCCCCCCGCCCGCATGGAGGCCCGCACCCACCTCCAGCTCGGCTCTGTCCTCTACCACCACACCCGCAACGGCGACCAGGCCCGCGGGCACCTGGAGAAGGCGGTGAGCCCAGGGCCGGGGGGGGGCGGCCGCGGAGGGCCCCTGTCAGCGGGGCCGGCCCGCGGGGGTGCAGACTAACCCGCTGTCTTCTCTTGCAGTGGTTGATATCGCAGCAGGTATCCTTTTCCTGGCCGCTCTCCCTGCAGCAGCCCACAGGACCCCAGTGCCTGGCCCCGGGCACGGGGAGCCTGCTGCTGGTTTCACCTCCTTCCCAGCCGGGTGCTGCCTTCCTCACGCATGCATTCAGCTACGGGGTTGTTGTGGACGTTGGGCTGGTGGTGTTTTCCAGGCTGTGTTTCATGTTCACTTAACTCTGCCACTGCCAGATCCCGCAGTTTGAAGATGTTAAGTTTGAGGCAGCCAGCCTTCTGTCTGAGCTCTACTGTCAGGAGGTGAGTGGTGCTCTCGGTCGTCCTGGGGCTGCAGGGCTGTTGTCGAAGCTGTCTTTGGGCTTGGAGTTAGCGTGTTGCTGGTAGTAATAGGGTTTATTCAGGTACAGGGAATATAGACTTGAGCCCCAAAGTGTGAACCTGAACTTGTGGTCTTTCCGATTGTGAAAGTTGCTGCTGGAATTGCAGTGCACCGCAGAGGAAGTTTCCTTGGCCAACGGACTTCTTTAGGCCTTATTTAGACAAGGACAGGCTCATTTGGGGGAGGGGAAAGGTAAACAGTTTTCCTCAAGCTTTTGTTGTGTTCCCAGGCTATTTTTATTCTTTCTTCTCTAGAAAAGCCTTAACTTGTCTTTGCTTCCATTAAAGCAAGCATTTGCCTTTGCTCTCCTGTGTAGGGAGAAAGCCCAGGACAGAGTAATGGTCAGAGCTGTTAAATAGAGAAATCCTGTGAACATGCTTTGGGGCCAGTGTAGATGTGCATCTTACATACATGGGCGTTCTTCCTTTTCACATCTTAAGGATCACCACCGAATACAAGTTGGGAAGTTGCTGTTGTTAGTGAGGACATTCCCAGCAGCCTGGGTTTTGTGTTGACTGGGGAGGGGTGTTTTGTGTTTCTCTTTCAGAATTCAGTGGATACAGCAAAACCTCTGTTGAGGAAAGCCATCCAGATCTCCCAACAGACCCCGTACTGGCACTGCAGATTGCTTTTTCAGCTTGCAGTAAGTGATGTAGAGTGATGGAGCTGTTACTGTAGCACTGGGACTGTGGAAAAAGGGCTAGGAAATAGCCATATTCCCCTTAAAAAGAGCTTGGATGCCCCCAGCACCTCCCTGTTGATAATGGAGAGGCAGAAGAATGACATATTGGTGGGCTCCAGATTGGATCTAGGTCGCTTCTTACTTCCTGAAGGCAGATGGGGGGGGGGGGGAAGCAACAAGGATCACCCCGTGGGCACTAGAACACAGGGGTTTGGAGGTGGAGCAAAATCAGATCCACCTTATGGCTTGCAGGAAGGACAAATGTTCTCTTAAAACCTGCTGGAATTGGAGTTTGCCAGCCTGGAGTGTGCGTTTGATTATGTTCAAGGTAATTAGTGGGCAGGGATGGGATGAGGAGAGCAGCTGGTGCAGAGGCCTCTGAGCAATGTTACTCTTCCTGTTCTGTAACGTGCTCTGAGCGTGGCTTCAGCTGCACAGGTTGGACCATCTTCAGTTGTAGGAGCAAACCGGTGCCTGTTGGGATCTGGGGGGTTTAACGCTTCTTTCAGTCCTCAGCTGTGTAGCTGCACTTCAAAGTGCTGCTTTTCCCAAGTGCTTCAGTGCTTTGGGTGGGAAGCACATCCTGAGTTAACTGAGCAGCAGGAGGAGCAGATGACTCCTGAAGAACAACCCCTGTTTTTCCAGGTTGTGCCTCTTCTCTGCTCCTAAGGAGCCTCAAGGTGTTTAACACAGCAGTTGCTGGAGTTAACTGCTCTTTACAGCTCTCTGCAGTGGAGGGTGGGTTAGGAACCAATCTGATCTTAGTCACCTGGACTTGTCTTTTCCCCCGTCCTGAGGAGCTTAAGCAGGCCAAGTCTGAAAATGAATTGCCAAGCTCCTTTGTGTAGCTTAGAAACAGTGAATCCTGTCCTTTTCCTATTGATTAAAGGACAAACGCTTGCTTTGTCTGAGTACTCAGAGGAAGCTCAAGTGGTTTTCTCAGTACCTTCCTCCAAGAGGGTCTTTCCCTGAGGCTTCATGTTCTTTGCTATATTCTGGGTGCTGTTTCCTCTCAGGCCTTTGCTTGACCGCAGAGGCCTTGGTGCCTCTTGTACAGCTCCGTGGCTCCTACCCGAGTTTGGAGCAAGTAGAGAACTTGGCAGGCAGGAGGGGTGGGAGGTGCTGTGGCATCAGCCTCACCCTCAGCCTTTCTCTGCTCTTCTTCCTGCTGGAGAACACCCTCCGTTGTTCCAGTTGTTCCAGTGGAACAGTCCACAGTTGTGTTGGAGCTCTTTGGATCTGACCTGCACATGGTTGTAATGAATTACAACAGCTTTGTGTGGTATGAAACGGGGCTGAGGCATTTTCTTTGGCCTGGGGTAATGGTTGTACTTGATGACCTTAAAAGTTCTTTTCCAGCCTGGTTGATTCCATGATTCTATGTTACAGCCTTTTCTTTTTGGAGAACACCCCTAAGATCAGATCATACATTCACAAAGTAGCAGTTTAGTGCCTGTCAGGTGTAAAACGCAGGAGGAGCTACATTTGTAGCCATGCTCATGGGGTTCCCAAGGAACATGCTGGTCCCTTACGGCCTTTCTTCATTTCAGCAACTTCACACACTTGAAAAAGACTTAGTATCTGCGTGTGACCTCCTCGGCGTTGGAGCAGAGTACGCCCGGGTGGTGGGCTCCGAGTACACCAGGTGAGCTCCAGGGGTGCTTTACCCTTCCCACAGGAAAGATTTTGCTTGCTTCTGTTTTTTAATTTGGAGATATTCAGGTGTGATTACTTGGGGACGGGGGATAATGGCTGTGATTGAACTGTTCCATCTTGCTTTTAAACCTGCTTTCTGGGGCAGGTTCCTCAATGCTCTTTTGTCTGTTGTATCTGAGGGGGAGAATGGCAGATTTCTGGGGTTTTCCTCAGGCTTTCTATGGACAGTTGTGGTTTGAGGAACTGTTTCTATTGAGTTTGATGTTCCGTTTCATTTCAGAGCACTGTTCCTGCTAAGCAAGGGCATGGTAAGTTGGATGGACTATTTACTTATTTAACTAATCTAATGCACAGAGCTACAGAATGCTGAGAGACCATTTGTTTTAAGGTATTTGCATGCTTATATGTGCTTTAGCTATTCTGTTTTGTCCATGTGAGCAAGCCCAGTTTTAAAATACATCTGGGATAAGCCTGAAGCCTGCGGGATTCTGGGGAGGATCTTGTGAATAGCTTTGTCTTTTATTTGCTTTTCTCCTTCATGATGACAAAGACTTTTCTGCAAGGAGAAAGAACAACTGCAGATGGTCCCTGGAGCCCTTGTAATTCAGGGTGAAGGGATCTGGCCATGTGAAAAGGCTGGTGCTGTTGCAACAAGATGGCTTTGAGTCTGGTTTTGTCTTCAGGAGACCGATGTACCCAGGGCTCTGCTGTGGTTCTTCAAGTGTTTAAACCATTTAGCACAAAAAGAATGATTTCTTTTTTCCTGTTCAATTACAGCTCCTTCTAATGGAACGGAAGCTGCAGGAGGTGCACCCTCTCCTTACCCTTTGTGGACAGATAGTTGAAAACTGGCAAGGAAACCCCATACAGAAAGAGTCATTACGGGTCTTCTTCCTAGTGCTACAGGTCACACATTACCTGGACGCTGGGCAGGTACCTGGGAGTTGTGCTTCCTCCAGTTCCATTGTGAAAACTAGGGAACAAATACTGCCCCAGGAGTAACTGAGCTGGTCTGGGGGGATGGAATGAGGAAGAAAGCAATGGCATTCTTTTCTTCTCCCTGGAGGAAAAGTTTATTGTGATCCACTTAGAACCACAATGGCTGCTTTCACTTCCATGGGATGCTGGTGGAGATAACAGCCTTTGTGTCTGAATTTGAAAGACATTTTGAGTGTCTGTGGGTTGATGGGCAAATATGAAGGGCTGATTTGGGTGGCATGGTCTAGGGTGAGGCATCCCTCCCCATGGCAGGGGGTTGGAACTAGATGATCTTAAGCTTCTTTCCAACCCAAACTATTCTACGATTCTATGCTTGTTGTTAATCCTGGAAGTAGGCACTGGTGTGACTTATGCATGGTCTCATATCCTGAATTTGGGGGTTATTTGTTGCCTGGCAAGTTTTCCCAAGCAAGGAAGCACTGAAACCTGAGGGCTGCAGCAGGTACACGTGATGTGGCTCCTGTCCTGCAGGTGAAGAGCGTGAAGCCGTGCCTGAAGCAGCTGCAGCAGTGCATCCAGACCATCTCCACACTGCACGACGATGAGATCCTGCCCAGCAACCCCGCTGACCTCTTTCACTGGCTGCCCAAAGAACACATGTGTGTGCTGGTCTACTTGGTGAGGAGCATTTTCCTTACTTATATTATCAGTAATGAGGGATTGGTTTGGGATTGCTTGGAGCCAGTGTAAGGTCCAGACCATGCGCTGCTGTATGTTCCACTGGCAGTTTGGTTCTGCTACAGTATCTGAGAGACTGTGGCTCTCAGTGCTTGAAGACACTGTGTGAGAAGCCTGGCAATTGAAATGGAACTTTATTCAGATCCAGATCATAGAATCAGCTTATTGATTTGGATGAGGTGAAGCTGTGTTGGCTTATTTTTACCACCACAGTGACAATCTTGACTTCAGATTCCTGTAACTAGTCCTGCTGCTTCTTGAATGTGATTATAATCTGAAATGTGTCACTTTTAAGTGAGTTTAAAAAGCTGGTGGCTGAGGAGTTGTAGAAGCTTCCCAGACCTTTGCAAAGATCATTCCTTGTAACCTCTCCTGTGTTTTCTGGCAGGTGACAGTGATGCATTCCATGCAAGCAGGGTACCTGGAGAAGGCTCAGAAGTACACAGACAAAGCACTCATGCAGCTAGAGAAGCTAAAAAGTAAGGATAAGGGTTATAATTCTGCAAGATTCCTTTTCTTGTTGCTAATTTAAATTAAAGCAAGACCACAGCAACCTTATTTAGCTCTCTGGGAGAGCGCTTTCAGTCTGTGTCTGCTGCATCAAAGAACTTCACTCTGGTTTATAACTGAGTGGTTACTTTGGGTACAGAAATCAAGTTTGGGGGGGGGGGGGTTATTGCAGCTCAGTAAACTGGGCTGTAGGTGGTGGACAAGGTGTTAATATTGTCTTAATTTCACTTATTGAGTTCCTTTTGTTCCCTTTCCAGTGTTGGACTGCAGTCCTATCTTGTCATCATTCCAAGTGATCTTGTTGGAACACATCATCATGTGTCGGCTTGTCACGGGACACAAAGCCACAGCGTTGCAGGAGGTAAAGGGGGTGTCAGTATTGCCCTGGTTGTGGATGGAAGCTGTGATAGCTTGTAAACCATGGGAATTTCAGTGTTGAGGAGGATACTTGAGCTCAGATGGGGATTCCAGCAGTGTTAAACTGACAGGTACTTTCAGGCGTGATGGCTCTGGCTACTGTGACTCTGAAGCCATGGAATTAGCCTCCTCTTAAGTATCCCCTTTAAGAACATTCAGAGTTGCTTATGGAGTCAACAGTGGTGGGTGCCTCCAGCTGCCTGATCATACCTTGCAGTCTGACTCTGGTATCTTTTTCCTTAGCTCTTTGTGTTCCTGTTCTTTCCAGTTTTGAAGGTTCCCTGCCTTTCTGTTCCTTTCCTCCTCTCACATAGTGTGGGGGAAGGAAGAGTGTTCTTTAATGCAGGACAGAACTGTGCTGCTTTTCTGGGATTTTAAAATCCTGGTTATACATCCCTTGCTTTGAGGACATGCTGCTGGATCACCTCAACCTCTGTGTCAGCTGCCTCTCGAGTGCACTTGTGGAGTGGGGGAAATTCATCTGCTAAAAGAATAGTCATTGGTTCTGGCTCATGAAGCTCCTACCCTATGAAAGACCCTTATTCCAGCTTTTCTGTTGTGTTCCAACTCTCATTCCCAGCATGGCAGAAGAGATCTGTGACTCGCTTTGCAGGTGGAGCCACCATATGGTGGAGCTGCTGCAAAGCAAAGAACCTTGTGGAACATGAGTGGAGCAGCGTGTGCCTGGGCCCAGGAGCATGACCTGAGTCTTGAACTGATCCTTGTCACATCCTGTGACACAAGCAGATGGATTTGGGACATAAAATGAGATAGAGAAAAGTATCTTAAATACTTCTTTTTCTGCTACCAGATTTCCCAAGTGTGCCAGCTCTGCCAGCAGTCGCCCAGGCTGTTCTCCAACCACGCTGCCCAGCTGCACACCCTCTTGGTAAGTGGCTGTGATCAGTGGTAAACTCTTTACTCTTTGGAAGACCCTACCCAAGACTCCTCACCAGGCGCTAAGGAGCCCATGGTGATGCAGCCCCTGAGAGCTCCTGCTGAGCAGTGGGGCTGCCTTGGCCAGTCCTGCTGAGTTGTTGAAGCCTATCAAAGGCTTAAATCCCTTCTTTAACTAGATGATGTGTAGCATGATAGTAAGCATAGAAGGTGAATACACGAGGGCTATCCTGTGCACATTGGAGACAGTATGTTGTGGGAACTGTGTATGGGGGAGAACTTATGTTTGGGTTTTACAGGAAATGGAGGGTTTCTTGGCTAAATGGAGGGGGGAAGGTTACAAGAATATGCCAGTTTGAAGGACTTTGTGTATTTTTTCCCAGATCCAGACAAAACTAAGACCCGTTGGTTACCTTTATTCCTGTTAATAATCCCTGGGGTTTCTGTTTCTTTGTGGGGGCCTTTCCTCTTTGTGTTACCTTAGAAACACCATGTCTTCTGCAGGGGCTCTACTGCATCTCTGTGAACTGCATGGACAACGCGGAAGCACAGTTTACTACAGCACTGAGGGTAAGATGTTCTTCCCAAATTATTTCCTTAGGGATGCTGCAATCAGGGGGGTCACTGAGCAGTTGAGGCTGGAAGGGAAACCTGGAGACTGTCTCAGTTGCATTAGTTTGGGTTTTTTTTCTGTGCTAATAGAAATTCAGGTCAGGAGATGGCAAAATATCAGCCACCAAACCTGTGCTTTAGATGGGTGAGTCAATTCTGAGTGAGATGCTGAAGGCTTTAACTGTGCTGTTGGTATCTTTTTTTGTTTTAGCTCACTACACATCAAGAACTGTGGGCATTTATTGTGACCAACTTAGCCAGTGTGTACATCAGGGAAGGCAACCGGCACCAAGAGGTGAGCTGCTTCCTGACTCCTGTCCTAAACACCAGCACTTCCTTGGAGGCTGCTGCTGCCCTGCTGGGATTAGCTTTTTCCTCTGAGCATATTGCAGAGCAGTGCCTTGTCCAGCCAGGCAGCTCCTGCTTCAGGGACTGCCCTTGACTCATTCATCCCCTTTGCTTCAGCTTCCATCTGTGCAGGGGGTTTATGAGATGACACAAACCCCAGCAAGGCTGAACAAACAGCCAGGAATAGGAATGTGCACATGTGTGTGCATGGTGCTTCAGTGCTGGGCCTGAAGCCACAGTAACACCGTGCTCCAGCTGCCTCATCCCTCAGCAGGAGTTCTCAGAGAAACACTTGCAGGTTTCTTATGAAGAGGCTGTGAATGATGCTTTGATTCTTCACCAAACACACAGAACCCCTTAGGGAGCAAAGCTAAGAATGAAATGCTCTGAGTTTCTTAGTTGATTTCTGGTTTAAATTCAAGAGCAAACCTGATGAAGCATTCATGGGGCTCTTGAACAGCTCAGCTCTGACAGGTACAAGTTTCCTGAGGAAATGTTAACATTAACAATGTCTAGAGAGTTCTATAAAGTCAGGGAAAGCCTGTTTTGTATAAAACTTGGTTTTAGGATCAGAATGGGTGTGAAAACTCTTAATATTGGTATGTTTGTGCTATGACCAACGCAGTGCAAGCGAACCTTGAGTGTATTTGTGGTATCTCAGCCTGGCTATCTGAGAAATGCTGATTATCCTTTTGTTCTCCTTCCACTTTGCAGCTTTACAGCTTATTGGAAAGGATAAATCCAGACCATAATTTTCCTGTGAGGTGAGAATTCCAGAAGCTCTCTCCATGCTGCTGTTGTGTTGGTGATGCTGATACTGGATTTGTAATAGGCTGTTTGAAAAGAAAACAAAATCATGAACTTCTTTTGAAGGCAGAAGCTCTGCCCATGTGCTAAATGCAGTCTTTTATTTGGAGGTTGGATTACTGGGCAATTCCAAGGAATCTGGTGTGTGTTGCATTGATCCCTGTGCAGCACCTGGATTCCAACACCTTGCTTTATCCGTAGCTCTCACTGTCTTCGAGCAGCAGCTTTCTACATCCGAGGTCTCTTCTCCTTCTTCCAAGGAAGATACAATGAGGCAAAGTGAGTATGAAGGGGTGGGGAGAGCAAAACGGAGACATGGAATCCAGCTGGTTAAGATCAAACTAAACCCCCTGAGGCCTCCCTTGCAAGCCTGCAGCTCTTTCTCGCTGGGGATTTGGGCACCTTCTGTTTTACCTGGGAGGAAAGCTTCAGGGAGCTATTGGATTTAGATCTCTCTCATGCTCCCTCTGCAGCAGCACAGAGCAAAGCTTTCCAAAGGAGGACTCTGTTACCACTTAGTTTTGCTAAATAAAAGGTGAGGTTTGGGAATGAAGCCCTTTGTTTAAGGTCACCTGCAGCACACAGTTAGTCCTGAGTGCTAATATTTGCCAATTGGTTTCATTTGGTTCTTAATAAAGCTTCTTAGAGACTGGAGGGAAAGGAGAGGCTCTGAACTCCCCTTTTTGCTCTGGCTTAAGGCGATTCTTGCGAGAGACATTGAAAATGTCAAATGCAGAAGACTTGAACCGACTGACGGCGTGTTCCCTCGTGCTCCTGGGCCACATATTCTACGTGTTGGGGAATCACAGGGTAAGTCTCTGCTATTGCCATGTAAACGTTCCACTTGTCACTTAGCCAACAGGACCTGTTGTGAAATGAGTGTTATTTTAAAGATGCTTGTTTGGTAGTGTCCCACCAACAGCTGGCAGCGTGTTGAGGTACATGATTCCGGAGCTCTGTGGTTAATAACACTTGCACAGAGTTAAAGGTTTTCTACAAATGTGTGTTTCTGTAATGCCTGAAATCACTTGAAGAAAAGAGCTGAATGAAGGATGAATACCGTGGTTCAGCCAGATTGCGTGGGAAGGAATTGTTGCGAGCAAGCTTCTTAATTCTCCCCACAGAATGTATGAAGTGTTTCTGTTACCTTGCACGATGCCTAAGCCAGAGCAGAATTCCAGACACCTTTAGATACAATGTGTTTGGGTTATTGTCCCGTTCAGCGCTTCTAGTTAGTTACATGGCAGTGGTTGAAGTAGACACGTTTTGTCACAAATGTAACATCTCCAGGTGATGTCAGTTTGCAAGAGGGGCCACAAATCATTCCTATCCATTTCATTTTGCTATCTGCTCTTCCCTAGGAAAGCAACAACATGGTGGTGCCAGCCATGCAGCTTGCCAGCAAGATCCCAGACATGTCTGTGCAGCTCTGGTCCTCGGCTCTGCTGAGAGGTAAGGTGGGAGAAGGTTTGAACTCCAAAAGAGCAGCAAAGAGCCTGGAGCTGGGGTTGTGGTGCTGCCAGCACCCTAGTGAGTGCTGCTGCAGCCCTGCTCTGTGCCTCTGGCAATGCTGTCAATACCAGGGGCAGATCTGGGGGGCTGGAAGACCCCTAGAGTGAGAAGGCTCCAGTGTCCCCATGCTGGCAGCAGTTGGGTTTCTCCTGCTGGCACTGGATGGCAGTTTGTGATGCTAAGAACTGAGTGGGTGCCCCTTGAAAAGGGGTTCCATTGGCACTGGTGCTGCTCTGCTTTTCATTGCAGTTCCAGGTGGAATAAACCTTTTGCTTAGGCTTTGCCTCTGTTTATGAGCTTGATTCAACAACAGGGACTGTTACAATGGTTGGACTCAATGAGCATAAAGGTCTTCTCCAGCCTAAACAGTTCCATGGTTCTATACTTCATATGTAAATATTGTTTCCTGTGATCCAGGCTGGCCCCAGGATGCTTTGTTCAAATATTGACCAGTGTCTTGGCAGACTGTCAGCATTAATGTTGCAAGTGATTTGCTCTCAGTAGAAAATACAGCAGCAACTCTACCCCACAGCTTCAATGTGTATTAAACTGCCACGTTCACCCTGCTCTGTGCTGAGCACTGTGGGTCAGGCTTATTTGCTGCTTTGCTCATGCCTTTGCTACAAAACTGCTTCCAGGCAATTGAAAGGACTTTTCTTACTCATGTCCAAGTGGTAGTTCTCCTACAAAACATGCCAAGAGTCCAGTTTGAACCTGCTGTGGCTGAAACCTCACCCCGTGGACCTCTGAGTGTATCCAGTAGCCTGGGAGCAACAAGAGGCAGTTTCTGCTTTGGTATTTCCAAAGATCTTCGTCTCTGGAACTACCTTCTCTTGAAGAAAAGGTGCCTAATGAGGAGTAACAAGACACAACCACACTTCCATCCACAGGAAGTGCAGCAGCTCAGCCCTTGCCACGCTGTGCTGCTCATCATTGATACCTAAAACATGCCTGATCCTTAGCAGGTTCCCAGTCTGAAACCTGATTGAGCTGATTGCTGTGAGTAAACCTCCCAGAGAACAAGGCACGAAGAGCAGCTTTCGGTGTGTGCAGAGCAGGAGGGTGCTGCGGTTCCCTGAAGGCAAGGATTTGCGTGGAAAAGAAGTGGAGCTGCAGAAGGAAAGCTGCGAGTCTGTCCTGTCCCCGCTAGATGGGGCTGGAAGCTAAAAAGCCGAATGCGAGCTGCTCTTGGGTTTTTACTGGGGTGAGGAGTTTGCTGCCTCCTTTTGGAGCTCCTCAAATGATACATTTAATAGTTGGAAGCTAAAATAGCATCAAAAAAGGGCAGGCTGCGAGTTCCCTGCTTCCCGTGGAGGTTTTCATCTGATCTGACTTGAGGATATGATTGAATCATCAACGAGAGCAAAGAGCCTCCTTGGACCAGAGGAGGCCAGTTGGAGGCGAGTGTTTCGAGGTAAACACACACTGCTCCTGTCTTCCAGACCTGAACAAGGCCTGTGGGAATGCCATGGATGCCCATGAGGCAGCACAGATGCACCAGAACTTCTCCCAGCAGCTCCTGCAGGACCACATTGAGGCATGCAGCCTTCCTGAGCACAACCTCATCACGGTAAGCAAGCTTCCTCTGGTAGCTGGGAGCAGTCTGGAGGCAGAACAACCCCCTTTGCTTGCTTTTCTTGTCCCTTTCCCCTGTGGAGCGTGCTTCTGAGTTGCCAAAATTCAACCTGCTTCCTAGTACTTCAAGAGGAGTGAGAACAGAAAGAGGAAGCGTGGCTCAGTTAGGGCATTGTTATAAAGGTATGTGGTGGGGAAGGTCTTTGTTTCTTAGTAGTGTTTCTTTGATACACCAAAACTTATATGTATGGTTTTTAATGGCTTTTGTGGAGGTAGCCACTTCGTTTTGGTGACAGCTGCTGCTTCTGAAAGACAGTGTGTTCTCAGGTTTAGGTTTGGTGTTCAGGTGATCCATTCTGCCTGTGCTGGGGAATGCTTTGTTGTGTGCTGCTGAAAGTACACTTCCTGCTGCTACTTCAGCATTCTAAGTTGGGGATTTGGCTTTTTGACTTCTCTCTAAATCTGGATTTCCAGTTAACACCATGAGATGTCTGCAAAGCCATTGCCTTAAGGATTCTTTGCATTTCAACTATTGAATTCCTTCCTGCCATAAACATCTGTAACACTGGTTTTAAAATACAGAATGGTTTCCAATTGGGCAATGGGATAAGGCAGTTTACTGCTCTGAACTGAAATCATGTCCAGTTATGAGAGATGGGAGGAAGTTGGTGTCTTCAGGGGAGAAGAAAGCGGGGGGAAAGGCCAGTAGGAAGATGCTGCATGTTGGCTTTGCTTGCAAAAGGATCCTGAGACATGTAGAAATGAGGGTGCTTCTTATTGGTGCAAGTCATCTCTACCTGCAAGAGCAGGAAATGCTTTCACTCCATCACCTCTGGCCCTGGATTCAGCATGGGAGGTTTGGAATGACGGGCATGTGGAGTGGCTCCCAAAGAAACACTTTGGGATGGGAGCTCTAAAAACAAAGTCAAACCTGATCATCAACTTCTCCAGCTGAAGTCTCTCATTACCTGCAGGCAGTGGATGGCTCTGGCCTGGCCTGGTCCCTCCCCAGGCAGTGGCTGTAGGATTTTCATGCTCTTTGTTGTCTTGCAGTGGACAGACGGACCACCTCCTGTACAGTTCCAGGCCCAGAACGGACCCACCACCAGCCTGGCCAGTCTCCTGTGAAACACAGTAACTGACACCAGGACAATGTGTTTAAAAAGCAAAGGAAAAGCCGCCAAGAAATGCCAAAAAAAAAAAAAAAAAAAGAGCAAAAATTGATGCAAAATCTTTTCTTCAAAGAAAAGGCAGCGAATTCCTCTTCTAGTGAGGGCCTTGTAGGAACCAGATTGCATAAAGACAACAAAGTACATTTCATAGACTTGCAAAGTGAGAAGGGCATTTTAAGCTGCTTTTACATAATGTGTGTGAATATACAGCTAGTGTGTATATACCTACTGGTTTTAATCTGCTTTCCTCTTACTGAGAAATAAGATTTAGTCCCAAGGACACTTGTTCCTTAAGTTCTTAGATATCTTAACTTTTAAAAGCCGTCACAGGAAATGAAGAGGACTCAGTTTTAATACCACTTGTAGCCTGAATACAAACCTTCCCTGGGGTATGATGCAGGAATCTGCACCCTTCCACTCCTGGGAAGAATTGGGTTAAACCAAGAGTTGATTGTAGAGTGCACTAAAGTTCTACATTTAGTTTCTGAGGGTAATATTCTTCTCACTGGGTGCAAGTCGTTGCCAGTACTGGTTGTAGCCTCGCAGTGAAGGTAAGGATGGGATGGGGAGCTCTGAACTCTGATGGTGTTTGAAGCTTTGGGGGGTGTTGGTGTCCTCAGGATGGCCTCCAGCCCTGTCCTGGTGTCAGAGGAGCAGGTTCTACATCCTGAGTGTGTGACAGTGTGCCACCACTTCATCCCTGTGATGGTCTGCCTTGGATCTCCCTGCACTGCCATGACTCCTGCATGGGGGAAGGCAGAACCACAGTTCTCTCCAATCTCTTTGCCGTGGTGTGGATGGAAGGAGGCACGTTCCTGGCCTCCTGGCTGCTCCCTGTGTTGGCCAAGCAGCTGGGAAGCAGCGGTTTGCACCTTCAGCACCGCCTCGCCAAGGGAAGGCAGCATCTGTGCCTTAATGACTTGTACAGAGTTAAAGCAGTGGTTAAACCCCAGCTCCAGCATAAGCCAGAGGCATGTGGTGAAACTGCAGGCTTGCCCTTGGCAAAAGCTTCCTGTTTCCAAACTTTTCAGTGTTTGCTTTGCTGTTCTCTGTCAGTGTTTTGGTGACTCTGTGACTTCTCGCTCTGTTTTCCTGGGCTCCTGCTGCTGTCTCAGAACAGGAGAGACGAGGCCCAAGTTTGTGCTGCAGAAACCAGGAGGAGAGTTGTTATTCCATGAAGCAGCAGCAGTTTCATAGCAGGGATCTGGGCCAGGTGTTGTAGTGCCATGTAAAGCTCGTGAGGTTCCTAGGGTGTTTTTCTCTCTTGGTAGCTCTGCGTATTTCTCTCCCAGCTTGAAAGGGGAAGGGAAAAGGAATGTGCCAGAAAAATCCTTTCTGTAGGGCTTTTTCCTCTGAGGGAGGAGGGGAATGTTTGAGAGGAAGCATTTGACCCCCTGAAACCTTTATACAAGTTTTACTGTAGCAGTACTACTGTGAATCATAGAAGGGTTTGGGTTGGAATGGATCTTAAAGATGAAGTCCAAGCTCAGCGGCCATTCTTGTTCAGAGTCTTGTCTCCTGTCTCAGAGACTTGCTTTTTGTCATTCAAACCCATCACTTTTTACCAGTGAATGATATTAAGGGGATAAGTGCTTGTTCAGTTGCCAAAATAGGGGGTTTTAAGTTTCCTCTGCTGTTCTCAGCCATTTACTCTTGCAGAAGATGTGCATGTTTTAGGCCTTGTTAAGTCTCCAACAGGGAAAATCTCGATGCTGGTGTAGGGAGAGAGTCCTGTTACTGGGTCTGCAGGAAGAAACTTCAGTGTTGTTCCAAGTGTTTAGAAGCATAGGAAAGAAATGTTTGAGGTGGCAGCACATGGGGTTTGGAGGTACCAGGTACAGAGAGAACCCTCAGATGGATCCTGTTCTGCATCCTTGCTCCTGTTCTGTGCCAGCTGCTCTCCTGTCCCCTCCACGGCTCTGAGTCACAGAGCTGACAGCCACATTCCCATGGGATCTGCTGGCTTTGTAGCACTGGGGTTAGGAACCTGTCTCAGTGGTGATGTTGTGTGGCCCTGGCTCACTCCACTTGTCCCTGCCTCTGTTAGTGATAGAACAGCCCCATAAGCTCAGCTGCTGCCATGGGCTTGGAGTTTGGACAGGAATGACCAGGTAAACCCTACCTGGGGGTATTGATGCTATGGATGTCTTTAAGTCTTTCCCCTTTCTTTGTGTGTATGGAAACTCTTTGGCTGTTTGCTCCTTAAGTCACTGAGTTGCAAGAACTGGTTTTAAGCCTCTAAATGCTGTTTTCTTGGCAGTGCTGGGGAATGATGAGTGACAGAAAAGGATGTGCTTTAAACTCAGCTCAAGGCCTGCTCAGGTGATCCAAGCGCTCTCTTCATGTGGCTGTTGTCAGCTAGGCTGAGGCTGTTCACTGCTTACACGCTCCTCCCTAACTACAGTCGTTGGGCAGAAAGGTTCTGCTTCTCTAAGGCACCATGGAAAAACTTCCATCTCAAGAGAGCTGGGGCTTGAGCTTGTAGTGACAGTGACCTGCCCCCAGCCTTGTCCTGCAGCTCCTCACCCCATCCTGGTGCTCAGGGCCCTGCAGAGCTGAAGGTTGTGCTGTGGGAGAGCAGTTTGCAGTGGGAATTCTCTGGCTCTTTGTAGTTGGAATCCCTGCTGTGTCCTGGGGAGGGAAGGAAGTGCTGGAGGGGAACTCACCTCTGCTGTGGGCATGCTCAGGTTTGGAACAGGAACCTTTGCTAAATGTGGTGGCTGAACTTGTCATGGCAGGAGGATCAGGCTGGGGTTTCCCTGGGACCTCCACTGGGGCTTTGCTCTTGGACAGAACAGCATTTGCCTGCGGCCCTGGGGAGTCCAACACTGCTGCAGAGTCCTCTTCCCAGCAACAGGATGTCAAAGATCATGTAAATTTGAACAGAACTCGTTGATTTTCTAGCTCTAAAATTCCATGTACATTTGTGACAATGTACAGTGCTTTTTAACGACACTTGTATATTAAATTATTTAATAGTTTGTGCTTTTCAGTATCTTTTGTATGGAGCAGAGATTAAAACCAGGACCTGGGAACTGAAGTTCTTCCTCACTGTCAAGTGCAGATGTAAAGCTCGAGGTTCACAGCTCACAACTCCTGTTCTGCTGAGTGCTTGCTCTGTGTGACTCGGTTTGAATGATGTGTTTCGAAATCCTTCTTATCCAGTCAATGAATTCTCTCTAGAACCAAACCTGAAGTCTTTTATGAACTTCTAAAACAAAGAGGTTTTTCTTCTAAAGATGGAGAGAACTGAACAGTTTGTTCTCTAGTATTTTTAAATGAGTAGCAAGAACTTCCACAGAAGCATTGATCGCTGTTGTGTACATAGTGTGAAATCTGGGCTATGGATAGAGAATGCAGTTTGGAGACGTGGGTGTCTCTTGTCTTGAGTTTCCTACTGTGAACACCCAAAAGGCCCCTGTACACAGGCCACCTCCATCAGTCTGGCAGCTGGGAGTTGAACAGTAGAACACAGCAATCATGTACTTCATCCCCTCCAGGCCCTCCCTGAACCCCCATGAACTAAAGCTGACAGTGATAAAAGGTTAGGGCCTGGTTGCTGTGCTGCCTGTGCACACGTGGGGTGAGCCCAGCGTGTTCCGTGTGCTGCCTGTGCACACGTGGGGTGAGCCCAGCGTGTTCCGTGTGCTGCCTGTGCACACGTGGGGTGAGCCCAGTGTGTTCCGTGTGCTGCCTGTGCACACGTGGGGTGAGCCCAGCATGTTCCGTGTGCTGCCTGTGCACACGTGGGGTGAACACAGTTGTTCCCTGTTACTTTACTGCTTTCATTTCATGCAGTTTTTCCAACTTCTCCAGAAATCCCACCAGCAGGAGGTCAATGATGTCCCATTTTTCCGTGGCTATTACTGACCTCTCCCCAGCTGGCACCAAGTAAGCCTGTTTCCATCCCATACAGCAGTGAGAGGGCAACGGTGCCGGTGGCTTGGGCTGTACACACGGCTTGGGAGAAGTGGAGCTGTAGTGGCCCTTGTGTGTGCTCTCTACTGTCTGTCCCTGCAAGTGTCTTTAATTGCTCCCTGCAGTGAAGCTCTCACTGTTGTCAGGCTTGTACAACGTGTGGGTCAGTGTTTGTAGTTCTCCAGCAGGAGCAGGATGTGCACATTCCACCAGTGCTGCTTCCTGAAGCTGTACCCACACTAACTCCTGGGCTGGGAGAGACCCAGCATGTTCCCTTTGGCCTTTGGGATCTCTCGGCTTCTGGAGTAGAGGAGTTTTGAAATAAAGCTTAATTTTACTTCTTCCAGTGCTCTGTAGAACACTGATTCCTTCAGCCTCCCTGCAAGCAGCGCAGCACCAGCCTGGCCTTGGAAGCTGCCGCACACAGGGAGCAGGGATGGATCCCGCTGTACCTGGGGCCAGGGTGAGGGCTCCTGCTGCAACAAGATCCAGAATTCCAGCTGATTCTCGCTGGAGGGGCCTGGGATACAACAAGGATTTTGTGGATCTGTCAGACACCCAGAATGTTGGTTCCTTGGCCTGGGACAGGTGGTTTTCACTGCATGGTGCAGTCAAGGAGGATGCTGACTGTATTATCTTCCCAAATAGGATCTGCTTTAATGGGACATTGCCTTGTGTGTCTTTTATCCCCATTTTACCTTTTTGAGCTTCAATTTAAAAGGAAGAAGGAAACTGAAGCCCCTTGTCTGCAGGTAAAACTCAGCAAAACCGGAACACTTGAAGACTTACCTGCAGCCGGTCCCGTCATCTGAGCTGCTGCGTTCCTCCCTTGAGTGTCGCCGCAGAAGCTGAGTCAGTTCTGTTCTGACAAGTTACTCACTATATGAAAATTTGGAACCCAAATGGCAGCTTCCTTTCTGGTGGAAATCGCTATTTCCAGCTCTATCAGCTCTGCCACTGCCCCAGGCTCTTCACCCTGCGGGGGGGGAGGAGAATGGTATTTGGCATAAACTATGCTATCATCACAGTTCTCTCAGGCCTGCCCTGTTCATCTGCTGTTGGAGCTCACTCTGGCATCTCCTCTGAAGCAGAACCTCAGAGGATGCACCTGATGGCAAAACTCCACGAGATGCATCTTAAGACATGTTAGCAAAGAGGTACAGGTGGTACTTGCCTAATAGATCTGGAGCCACAACCAGAGGAGATGGTTGTATTTCACCTTTTAGAAGCTTGTCACAAGCTGCCAAAGCCCAGTGAAGATGCCAGGCTGCAGCACAGCGAGTGGCTGGAAGTTCTCTTTTGTCAAGCTCTGGGCTTATCCCCACATAAACACTTAGTTTGAAACATAAAGGGGAAAGCACATCTTTCTGTGTGTGTGCCAGGACCACTGGGTGCTGCCTCAGCAGGTGGCAAAGCTTGCCGTCACCTCAGGAAAAACCTGGCCAAACAGGACAAGAAGAAAAGAGCTATGAAGAGATTTCTGGGAATAACTTTCCCTTCTAGGTAAGAAAGCTCATGCTGTGCTAGACCTGTTCTGAAACTCTCCTGATGCCACAACAGGGAAAACAAGTGGGGGTGCACGCACTCCTGTGTGGATTAAAGCACCCTTTCAGAAGGATGGAGCCCTGATTAGTGAACCAGCAAGTTTTGAATGGCCTGAAATGAAGCCAGAAGCTTTGGGAGAAGTCACTAACCAGTTACAACAGGTTGGGAGCGGTTAACCCTTCGTTGTAGTGAAAATTGGCTTTTACGGAGGGTGGAGGAAAACACTTAAAACCAAGAAAACCTGGGTTCAGTCTTGCAAAGGAGAGTGAACACAAAGCTGTTAACAGGAACTGTGGATCTTTAGAGTGGAAACCTGAGTTTGTGGCACTTTCCTGACCAGAGGCTGAATCCACTCCAGGAGCAGGCAGTCGTGCTGAAGAGGGAGGGATGAGACGTGGATTCCAGCTCTGCTTCTGCTGCTTTCTTCTTGTGGCCTCTGCTCTGTGCCTTCTGCCTTCCCTACCCTCAGAAGGTGGGAGCTGTACCGAGTTTTGCTTACCGTGAATGAAACCAACACGTATTTATCTCACTTGTTTGAAACAAGCACCTGACGCGAAGCCACATCTCATCCTTCAACACGCTGTAAATGAACATAACTGACGACAGGTTGGCGCTGGCATTACAAACAAAGCGCAGCTCCTGTTGCTTTATTTACCCTCCATTATAATCTCGTTTTAACCAAGATCCTGGGGTTTTTTCCCTTCGAAGAACACGCTCTTTGCAAGTGGCCGAAAACGCTGCACCGGGAGCGCTGAGGCGGCTGTTGGCGATGGCAGGGTGCGAGCTGGCGGCTTGGAACACGGATCTTGAACAAGCAGCTCTGGGCAGGGCCTCTCCTGG